GCTCATTTGGGGGCATATCAAAGGCCGTTAGCCAGGGAGGTTTACCAGTTGTCCAGTTTGGGAGTTCGCGTTACGGACTCTAGTGAAGGAGGGGTAATTATACAGAATAGGGCTGAATCATCGCTTGTAGAGGAGGTGATGGAAAAGCAATACAATGATCCATTGTAAGCACAATTGAAAGAGGGGATTCACAAACACAATACCACAACTTTTTCCTTTGGCATGAATGATGGTACTCTATGGTACCAAGACCGCCTATGTGTTCCTGATATCGACGGTCTTCGGGAAAGGATCATGGCAGAAGCTCACACATTCAGGTATTCCGTGCACCCCAGTTCTACAAAAATGTATCATGATCTCAAGGAAATTTATTGGTGGAACAACATAAAGAGGGATGTGGCGGATTTTGTAGCAAAATGTCCAAATTGTCAACAAGTGAAGGCCGAACATCAAAGGCCCGGTGGATTGACTCAAAGCATAGAAATTCTAATGTGTAAATGGAGATGATCAATATGGATTTTATAGTAGGGCTTCTGCGCACTCCCTGCAGGTTCAACTCAATTTGGGTGATCGTTGATTGACTCACAAAATCAACGCACTTCTTGCCAGTTAAATCTACCAACATAGCGGAACAGTATGCTCAGTTGTATATCAAAGAAATAGTTAAGTTGCATGGCAATCCAGTCTCAATCATTTCAGATTGAGGGGCTCAGTTCACGGCCAACCTTTTGAAGAAATTTCAGCAAGGTTTGGGTACGCAGGTAAACCTTAGCATAACTTTTCATCCACAAACCGATGGGCAAGCAAAGCGGACTATTCAGACGCTTGAAGACATGTTGCGTGCTTGTACTATTGATTTCAAGGGTAGTTGGGATGACTATTTGTCACTCATAGAATTTGCTTACAACAGCAGCTTCCATGCTAGTATCCAGATGGCACCATTCAAGGCATTGTATGGTAGGAGATACAGGTCTCCCATTGGGTGGTTCGAGGTTGGAGAAGCAGAATTGATAGGGCCGGACCTCGTGTATCAGGCCATGGAGAAAGTCAAGATTATTAAGGAGAGGTTGAAAATTGCTCAGAGTCGCCAAAAGTTTTATTCGGACATTCGTCGCAGAGATTTAGAGTTCAAAGAAGATGATTGGCTATTTTTGAAGGTTTCCCCCATGAAGGGCATCATGCGATTCGGGAAGAAAGGGAAATTAAGTCCGAGGTATGTTAGACCGTACAGAATCATTCAGAGGATCGGTCAGGTGGCATACAAGCTCGAGCTGCCACCCGAGATGTCGTTGGTACATCCGGTTTTCCATGTGTCTATGTTGAAAAGGGTAGCAAGAGATCCGTCCGTTATTGTGCCAATTGCAGCTATTGAGGTTAATGAAGAACTATATTATGAAGAAATTCCAGTTGCCATTCTTGATAGGCAAGTCCGAAAATTGAGAAATAAGAAAATTGCCTCTGTAAAAGTGTTATGGCGGAACCAGCAGGTTGAGGAAGCCACTTGGGAAGCCGAGGAACAAATGAGAAAGAAGTACCCAAATTTGTTTGAATAGTTATGTAATAGCTTTTATGCATTTGGTTCCTATGAACTCTTATCTTTTGATTTGATTTATGTTAAACTATTCCATTTTGGTAAATATATGTTGCCTATGCGGCCATGGTTGGTGTTGTATAAGTTATGTTATGCCTATGGAACATGTATATGTTGTTAGGATATGTATCTGGGACCCTCTGACAGGTGGATAGTCCTAGTTACAATGGAAACTCTGCCGAAATTTCTGAAAAATTTGGGAGTTAAAGATGTGTGAGAAAGGAGATAAGTTATACTAAGTATTTGCAGATTGACTCCAATTATCATTCGAGGATGAATGATCCTAAGCGGGGGAGAATGTAAAGCCTTGGAAAATTTTGCCAAGTAATTTAAGATTTTGTGGTGCCAAGGCAGGCTAATTATTTTATTTTGTATGAAAATGAGGATTCATGATATAATGGATATCAATTGGATATGTTAATAAATGTATAAGTCATATTATAAGTGAATTGGGGTCTAAGGAGAGGCCTAAGTCTAAGCCAAGTTGGAAAATTTCATAATAGACTAAAGTTGTAAATGAGTGCGCACAAGACCTCACTTTGGACAATCATATCTACAGTTATATAAGTAGTTGTGTAATGCAAAACCTATCAAATTAAAGCCCTTTGAGTCTAGTTTCCAACTCATCAAACCGTTTGTCATTGGGAGGTGTACACAGAAAGTTACGACCATTTTACTGGGCATGTGTCATTAGCGCGGCCGCACATATTGCGAAGTATTCTGCCTCGTTAGCACGGGCGCGCTAGTGGAAGACCTCTAAATACACCTAAGGACGGAAAATTAGAGGATTTAAGTCATTTTTCAAGACTAGGGCATCCTCTCCATCCCCAATCCGACCAAGGCTTCCAATTGCACACCTAAGGTGAGTTTTTAAGTGTGTTTTCATGGTGATTTCACTTCTCAATCACTAGTTACAACATGACTTTGATTGGATTTCATAGGATTTCTTCAAAATCTCAAGAACACCCCAAAGTTGTCTTTCAAGATTTGGTCTACAAGAGGTAAACTTTTACCCTTAGACTTATATATATGGAGTTATTATGGAATTATGAGTATGAATCAAGTATTACAACTTATGGTATGGTGATTGGAAGCCATAAATTCCCAATTTAAATACATGACCATGGTAGGGATTTAAAGGTGATTACTTGATGGAATTTTGTTGGTTGGGTGTGAATGGTTGATCACACATGTGGTGTTAAGAGTATAAATTGTAAAAGAATAATGGTGGGATGAATTATTGGTTAATGGTGATAGTTGGATGAACCAATACTATAGTTATGAGGTGTAAATATCTATACCTACAAGGTATTTGATAATATGCCTAAATGGCTTACGTTATAGAATTTATTATTAATATTGGCCCTATTGAATGTTGTATTGTAGATTGAAGTTACTTAAGTGTATTGGATCATTGTAGTATCATTAAGGGGAAAATTTCAGGTATGTATGGCTAAAACCCCCTTTTATTAGAAATTGAGCTCCGTTGGCGTTTACGAAAGTGTGGTAAGATTTGAATTGGTTAATGTATTGATTGTTATTGCGCATTAATTGATTTGCAATTAACTACACATATACATGAAGAATGTGCTTCAATGTGAGTAATGTATCATTCTTGATAATTAGAAAAGTATGAAGAATACAATTATATGTTGAAATGCTTAGGCTGTAAGCCAAGATAGAAATTGAGAATTGTTCATGCTATCTATATGCCCACTTACCTGTACTGCAACTTGAATTACTTTTGTATATGCCTATGATCACAACCTGCAAGATGAATACTGAAAATGGAAAACGATGTGATAATGGTGGCCCTGAGTGCCAAGGAATTGATATGATATATATGAAATAAAGATTCAGATGTGATGACTAATGAGAAAGGAACAACGCCTAGATAAGGCGGCCTAGCCGATCGGGTCGTGATCGGACACCATGCCGCACACATGGTGGTAATGTGTTGATATTGAATTCCGGATAACGGAAATGAAATAGTGATTGAGAAATATGCCTCCAATGAGGCAACCTAGCCGGTCGGGTCGTAATCGGACTCCTCTCAAGATAGCGGTGGTATTGAGAACAATGATGAAGATATGAAAGAAATTCCCCAAACTAAGTTTTGGAAATTATATGAAGGACTGAATGAATTGCATATTTGATTTACTCATGTGATTTACTTGTACTTGCTTGATAATTCTTTCTAGTAAGATGGTGTTTAGTTATACATACTAGTGCTATTCGATGGCACTAACGTCCCCTTTGTCGGGGCTCTACATTTTTTTTATGAATGTAGGTGGCTCCATTGCGGATAGTACCGATCGCGCCTAGCGGAGTACCTTCTTCTCAAAGTCTTGGTGAGCCACTTTCTCCTTCAAGGGGTTATATTGTACATCTTCTTATTTTGGACTTTCACTTTTGAGGTATAGTCGGGGCTTTGTTGCCAGCATTGTTATCACGTCTTTTGTATCCTTAGAGGCTCCGTAGACGTTTGTGTGGGTTATGTATGGGTATTGAATAGGTAAATGGACCATGTTGTAACCTTGTACTCTTGCTTTCTTCTACACTATAACTTGTATGGAACCTTGGAAGTTTAACCACGTTTTAAATATTGTGATATAAAATGAACTAAGATGTTGAATGTTCTATCTTTCCTAGTTTAAATAAAGGTAAGCATGGCTTCCTTATTCCTATAGAGTTGGGTAGATAGCGGTTGATAAGGCTTGCTCAGTTGGGTTCACTCGATTGAGCGTCGGTCGCGCCTCCCGAAGTTGGGGCGTGACACCTTGTTTAGATCGGTGAAGTCTACACACATTCTCCATTTCCCGTTCTTCTCTTTGACCATGACCACATTGGTGACCCACTGGGGGTATTTCGATTCTCTGATGGAACCATTGGCGAGCAATTTGTCCACTTCTTTGTTGACCGCTTCGTTGATCACGACATTGAATTTTCTCCTCATCTACCGTACCGGCGGATAGAGTGGGCTGACATTCAATCTATGAATGGCGATGTCCTTTGGGATCCCTGGCATATCTGAGTGGGAAAAGGTAAATAAATCGGCGTTGTTAGTTAAAAATTCACGATACTTTCCTGGCTTTGAGAGGTTGTGCCCGATGTAAGCCTTTTTTGTGTTGTCGGTGTCGTCCAACTGGACTGGGTTGAGGTTCTCTATAGTTGACTTGCAGGATTCTATGATGTCTGGGTCTCTAATGGCCTCTGTTGGTGGGTCGGGTTTAGTTCCTGACATGGCTAATTTTTATGCCTCCGCACTTGCTCCTTTCAGCTGTTTGGTGTATGTGCAATCTTGGGCGATTCGATAGCATTCCTGGGCAGTGCGCGATTCGCCTTGGATGCTGAATATTCCCCACGGTGTGGGAAATTTGATCACTTGATAGAAGCTTGGGGGGATGGCTCACATGGCGTGTATCCATGGGCGCCCTATGATGGCATTATAGGTTGTTTCCTGGTTCATGACATGGAAGGTGGTTTCCAGCATGACTCCCCCTGCTAGGACTGGTAGAGCTATTTCCCCGGATGTCCGCTCTACTACATTGTTAAAACCCGTTAGTGTTATGCAACACGGTATTATTCTATCCTCGAGCCTCATTTGCATGAGAACTCTCCGGTGGATAATACATAGGCCGCTTCCGTCTTCTACCATGATTCTTTTCACGTCTGTATCAGCGATGTGTAATGTTATAACCAAAGCATCATAATGAGGGAAAGACAAATCGTCGGCATCTGACTTTTCGAAGATGATACTGTCTTTGAAGTCGTCATAGCGTTCGTGGGAGACCGTCCGTTTGAGTTTATGCGTGGTGGTGAGCTTCACATGGTTGATTACTGAATCGACGCCACCGCCAATGATCATCTGTATGGTACATGCCGGTGATGGTGGCTTTGAGGGTCCTTGAGATGGGTCACGTCCTCTAGCGAAGTTCGCCCTTCCTTTATCGCTGAGTAGTTCTTTCAGGTAGCGCTGGTTCAACATCCTGACCACCTCTTGCCATAGACCTATGCAATATTCGGTCTTGTGTCCTCTTTCCTGATGGAACTCGTAGAGGACATTTGATCTTCTCGCGCTTGGGTCCGATCTCATTTTTTGTGGCCATTGTACCTTCGTGCCTAGTTTCTCTAGTGCGTATACTATCTCTGAAGGGGAGATACAAAAGTTATGAGCAGATAATAGTGGAGTCATACCTCTATCATTTCGAAGGTGTGCGGTGTGTCGTAGCACGACATCTGCATCCCTTGGAGGAGGCGGGGTTAGTTGTTCTAACATAAGGCTGATTCCTTTCGCTGGGTTGGGACGTTTAGATCGTCTTCATCTGCCCTCACCTCGGTGCAGTAGGCGTTGTGAATCTTTTCTTATGTGGTGGGGGGCTACTTCATGAGTCTGTTGAGCACTTTTTTGGTTGCCTTTGATCCGTTCCTGTTTAACCTATTTTGGAAGGTTGTGACCGCCATTCCTTCTGACATATTTGGCAGTCCCATATTTACTCTATTGAATCGGGCCAGGAAGTCTCGAAGTCCCTCGCTTGCCATTTGCCTGATGGCGAAGATGTCGTTGACCCTATCTTCAGCCTTCTTTGCTCCTGCATGAGCGGTGGCGAATTTATCCTCCATCTCCTCAAATGTTGATATCGATCATGCCGGTAGCTGGGAGTACCATGTTAATGCTCCTCCTGTCAAAGTCTCGTTGAACTTTTTTAGTAGCACAGATGGCACTTGTTCTTTAGACAGGTCATTGCCCATTACCGCAATGACGTAATGGATTAGATGATCCTCTGGATCCGTGGTCCCGTCGTATATTCTCAAGTATGGCGGCATTTTGAAGGTTTTCGGGATGAGGTGAGGAGCAGCTCCTTCTGTATGGCTGTTTGACGAATCGGCCCACATCGCGTTTTGGTAGTAGTTTAGGGGCGCCAGTTATTTTGTCAACCCTTTCCTGGTGCTCTCTCATTTGGTCACGAAGTGCTTTGTTCTCGTTTTTCATTTCTTCCATTTTCTTTCGGGTGTTCATGAGTGCATCGTCGTTTGCGTCGATGACAGTGTGGGTGTTGCTCGTTCTCGTGGTGCTTGGCTCGCCGATGGTAGCTGCGATTTATGTCGTTGGTAAGTCTTCGACATTTCCTTGGGGTTTTTCGAGCATGTTGCTTAAAACACTTGTCAACCACTCCTTCAGCAGCTTTTTGATTGCTGGTGGTGTTTCTCTCGTCGTGGACGTGGAAACTTCCCTTTCGCGCAAGACCGTCAGGTCCTCATGTTGAGAGGGTGAGATCTCCTCCTCCGGTGTATCTTCTGGTGTTGTATTCTCAGTGCCTTCTCTACTGGCTTCGTTGAAGGAGCTTAAGAGGTTGTTTGAGACCTCTGCTAGCATCTTCAGCCTTGCTTCTTTCTCCGCCATTGTTGGTTTTTATTGGGTATGAAGAACAGTAATCGTTACTTTCGATATCCTAGATGAGAACTACGATTTCGGCTAACAAAATCCCTACAGACGGCACCAAATTGTTTGACTCAAAAGACTTTTAACTCTTTTTAAGCAAATCAATCAAAGATGAAGAGGTAAATCGTAGTCGAAGATAATAAACTCTAGGATGATTGTAGTAGAGAGATAACAATAATGGAGAGAGGGAGAGATTGATAGAGAGATAATAGAAGTAGAGAGAGAGATGATATTAATCTTGTATCTTCCGAACCTCTCTTATTACAAGGCTGAAACCCCTCTTATATACTAAGAGGTTTCCCTTCATTATGTGGACGACAAATTAAGATATATTTGTCCTACCGGACCTAATGCTAATGCGACCGCGTCTTTCTTTTTGCCTCTGGGTCGTACCCTTGTGTCGACTCGTGGGTTTTCGGCCACTTATAATACTCGCTATAGGCCGTGGTCAATCAAATTCGACTCATACACAATTCTCTGTCTTTTGAACCTGAAAACAATCGAGTATGTTAGGATACGTTTATGAAATCTGTGCAACTATTATCATGCAATCCTATACAAATGTAAGAATTTCTAAAGACAAGCACATGCATGAACGTAAATTAACCGGAAAATAAGTTAAGCTTGTAAATGCAGACAGTCGCATAACAGTGTGAGTAATTTACATAAAAGTTGCGCCAAAATACAAAACAAAAAAACATGGATTTGTGGCGGTTATTTTTGAGTAAAACGGCAGTTTGAAACCGCCAGAATACACAGTTACGGCCGTTTGAAAAAGTGCCCCAATCCGGTCCGCCACAAGTATATTACGGCGGTTCCTCGGGAACCGCCGTAATAAAATATCAAAACTGCCGTAATAGGCTGCTTTTTTTTCGTGAAATTTTATCATTTGATAGTAAATTTCCAAATATATTAATGTGCATATGCTATTAGTTGCTGTACAACATTATCAAACGATTTCAAATCCTCGTATGTGAGGTGTCATTCCATGCCATGCTATTTGGATTTAGTAGGGCTCTTTGGTTGTCGTCCATGTATATTTTAGTCTCGTATGTACTATGAAGGTCCCATGAAGGTCTCCTAACAGATGACATTAAGAGACTCTTTGTACTTTAGTGAACTTCTTGTAGTTAATTACAAGGAGGAGAATGGTTTCCAGTATAATTCACTCTGCGCTGTAAGTTAGTTTAAACTCAGCAGCTCGCATAATTTTCGCTTAAGATCGGGTAAAAAAAATGAAATTTAGATACTAAAAGCTACAAAGAAAAGTACTTAGAAGTAACTTTTTATAAATATCAAAAGTGGAAAAATCAATTTTTAAAATATTAGTGAAAGTTTATTAACAATAATATTGGTAGGCAAAAAATATTGAATACTCCAAAACAGATGAAATAGGTCCCAGATTAATTATTGGCCACTTATTTCCTTCATCAAATACAATGGCATGAAAATAACAAAGCTTTTTGTTTCTCACTTGCCTAACCAAATATTTACAACGCTATTGTAAATTCATAACTTCCAAATATTTGAGTACGAAACTACCAGTATATATCTCCTAAATCCTAATTTAAGGAACCTCGAGCATTCTGATTGCATATTGACTGTATATATATATATATATATATATACACTTATAGGGAAGATGATATAGATATATATAGATTGTACGAAAGAGGCAATAACCAGAAGTATTTAAATAGTATAACTCCATAGAGAGATGTGAGCAGCAGCTTCCCCATAATCTCCAACTTCTACGTAGTGAGGTGGTGGTATCATTAGTCCTTCCGCCATATTTGCTAGCAGTCCCGGCATGCAAAACAGAGCTTCCCATCCATAAAAAAATTATTACTTTCTGGTGTTTCATGAGGAGTTGTGCCAGCAGATTCTCCTGAAACTGCTTCTGACTCAGATGGTCGGAAAGCCTCGGCGGCCTCCGCTGCCGCTCTCTGAATATCCTTAGCGTCGGTAGAAGCAGGGATAGACAACTTCCAAACAGATCACACTACTAGAATTCCCGTAAAAAGCGACCAAAAATTAGCGACCAAATTTGGTCTGTCAAGAAAAGCGACCAAAGTTGGTCGCCAAACTGCCGAAAATAATTAAAAAAATATTTGAAATACTTTAGCGACCAAAGTTGGTCGCTATTTGGCCGCAAATTTAGTCAAATTGTTGACTGGACTGGTCAGACTTACTTGGTCAAATATATACTGAGATTAGCCCCCAATATTGGTCGCTAAGGTGGGACCCACATTAAATTTGTTAATAATTTTATTATTATTTTATAAAACTTATAAAATATAAATATATATAATTTAAA